CATGACAGGACAAAACATGTTGAGGTTGATCACTACTTCATTAAGGAGAAACTCACTAGTGGTACCATTTGTAGTACTTTTGTCAAATCTGGTGAACAACTTGCTGACATTCTCACCAAGGGGGTTGGGAATAAGCCATTTCATAACATATTAGGCAAGCTAGGCATAAGAGATAGTTTCGCACCAGCTTGATGAGGAGTGTTTGCATATTATATTATCATATTACTATTTGAGTTATTAGTGTGTAATTATTCTATGCCTTAGGGCTCCCTTGTAATTTTTACAAACTTTAATCTTCATTAATATAAATAGGGGATGATATCTTAATCAAACCCTAAGCTGGTTACTTTCTATAATCATCAACATGGTCTCTACATTCTCGATTAGACAGACAGACTGACTTACTCATCCGTTCAGTTACCATCCACCAAGGAAGACCTCTGATTGTGGCATCGTCGTTTAGAATATTCCTCTTTTTTACTACTTAAGCATTTATTTCCTTTTGGTTTTGAAAATAATAGCATATCTGATTTTCAATATGAGTCTTGTCAATTTGGGAAACAACACTGAGCTTCTTTTGCCCCATCTATTAATAAAAGTTCAGTTCCATTTATTTTGATTCATTCTGATGTTTGGGGTCCTTCACGTTTTGTGTCTTTAAAAAGTCAAAAATGGTTTGTTACTTTCATAGATGGTTGTTCTAGGGCAACTTGGGTCTATCTGCTGAAAGATAAAAGTGAAGTGGTTTCTGTGTTTCAAACCTTCCACAAAATGATTTGCACTCAATTTAGGGCGGTTGTCAAAACTTTGCGTTCTGATAATGAGGGGAATATCTTGACTCTGGTCTTGCCAATTGTTTTGTCACTCATGGCATTATTCATTAAACTTCCTGCACTAATACCTCTCAACAGAATGGTGTTGCCGAAAGAAAAAATTGTCATCTCCTTGATGTGACCCATTGTCTATCCTTTGAAATGCGTGTTCCTAGATCTTATTAGGGGGAGGCGGTTCTCATTGCCGCTTATTTGATTAATCGTCTTCCTACCCTAGTCCTTCAAAAGCAAACAACTATCCAAGTTCTGTTCCGGTCCACCCAAGGTTTTAAAAAGCGGCCGCAACCGTTACGTAACGCCGTTACGTAACGGTTTTGGCAGTTACCGCCACCCGTTACGGCCGCTTTTGCAGTGTGATTGAGATTCACAGGTGTGTCGGCCGCAACGGCTGCCGTAGCGGTCGTAACAGGCCGTTACGGCTGTTATAGCACCGTTACGTAACGGTTCCAAACTGTTTCTTCCAAAAAAACACATAAAAAAAAAAAGCTAAAAATAGGGGAAGAGGGATAGAGAGAAGAGAGAAGAGAGAAGATAATGAGAGAAAATGGAGGAGCAAGAGATAGAGAGAGAGAAGAGGGAAGATGAAGAACATGTTATTAATTTGTTGAAACTGTAAGAACTATGCTATTCTATTCAGCTGCTATCACTAAACCATTTTGTTTGTGTGTGTCTATCTATATATTGTTTGAAAATAATAATAATAAGTGTGGTCATTATCTATTTGGCTTGGTTAAAATATGTATATATATATATATTTAGGCTCTTATTTATTCTCTTACTTTTGTCATTGTTTATCTTATGTATAATAGTTAGTGATTGATTTTTTGTATAATATAAAGTCATTAATTATTAAAATAAAATGTAAAAAACTCAGTTTGTAGTGATTTAAAAATATGAAATATATTGCATCATACTTAAAAATTTACAAAAATTGATCAATATTTATTTTTAACCCAATAAATATGATCATAGAAAAAAAATATGCGTATCGGTAAGTTTTTTTCAAATTGTGCGAAAAATAAAAAAATTCACGGTTCCGGTTACCGCAACCGTTACACTACGGCCTTTACACCCCGCAACCGCAACCGCGTCACCGCCACCGTTACGGCGACCGCAACCGCTTTTCAGAACCTTGGGTCCACCTCTTCTGGGTTCTCTCTTTCCCCTAAGACCTTTGGCTGTGTTTGTTTTGTCCATAATCATTCTCCTACTCATGGTAAATTGGATCCTAGGTCTCTTAGGCGTGTTTTCCTAGGTTATTCTACCACACAAAAGGGGTTATAAGTGTTATCATCCTCCCACTCGCAAATAGTTTTTCTCCATGGATATCACCTTTTTCGAGTCTCGGTCTTACTTTCTTCCGTCTCCAGGGTCCCAGTCATCCCTTCAGGGGAAGCCTTGGTGTGAAGAGATTCCTGTTCTACTTCCGCCAGTGGTTGCACAGATAGAGGATGATGAGCCAGCAGTTGTTGACGCATGCAATGTTTATGTCAGGGACAAGGACAGACAGCAAGTCACCTGAATGCAAGAACCTACTTTCCCTCCTCTACTGCCAACTGCTTCCTCGGATGAGTGTCCAGAGTCACCCCCCTCTCCTAAGAATCCAAGTAATTCTGATCCTAGTGTTTCCTTTCTAACCTTTCAGATCTTAATGTTCCCATTACTAATAGAAAGAGAGTTAGGTCATGTACTCAGCATCCTAATACGAATCATGTCCCTTATTCTAATCTGTCTCCCTTATATAAAGCCTTTCTGTCTAAAATTTCTTCTGTGAGTCTGCCTAACAATTTTCAGGAGGCTCTCACTATTCCTGAATGGAAACATGCCATGATGAAGGAGATGAGAGCTCTGAGCAAGAATGGCACTTGGGAGTTAGTGGAGTTACCTAGAGGCAAAAATTCAGTTGGATGTAAGTGGGTGTACACTGTAAAACACAAAGCAGATGGTTCCATAGAACAGTACAAAGCAAGACTGGTTGCTAAGGGTTTTACTCAGACTTATGGGGTAGATTACCAAAAGATATTTGCACCGATTGCTAAGGTGAACTCTGTGAGAATACTACTCTCTCTTGCTGCAAATCTAGATTGGCCACTTCATCAATTTGATGTGAAGAATGTCTTCCTTCATGGAGACCTAGAAGAAGCGGTCTATATGGATGTTCCCCTTGGTTTTGAGGATGCTAGGTCCAAAGGTAAAGTATGTAGGTTCCGGAAATCACTTTATGGGCTAAAGTAATCCCCTAAGGCTTGGTTTGAAAGGTTTGCTCAAGCTATGCTGAGATATGGGTTCAAGCAAAGTCAAGCTGATCACATCTTATTTGTGAAACACTCCTCACTTGGTAAGACCACAGCTCTTATTGTCTATGTTGATGATATTGTTTTGACAGGAGATAATGTTGAAGAGATTCCTTGGTTAAAGGAATACTTAGCCAAGGAGTTTGAAATCAAAGACTTAGGCAATTTGAAGTATTTTTTGGGCATTGAGGTAGCTCGTTCCAAAGATGGCATCTTCATATACCAGACGAAGTATCTACTTGACTTGCTCAAGGAAACTGGAATGCTTGGAGGTAAACCATGTGATACACCTCTAGAACCGGGCCAGAAAGTAAGTAAGGATCAAAGGGGAGATCCAGTAGACAGCAGGAGATATCAAAGGCTAGTGGGTAAGCTCATATACTTATCCCACTCCCGCCCAGACATTGCCATTATAGTGAGCATGGTTAGCCAGTTTATGCATGCTCCAAGAAATTCCCACTTAGAGGCAGTTATGAGAATTCGGAGATACCTGAAGGCTTCTCCCGGAAAGGGTCTCTATTTCTCAAAATATGGACATCTCAGTGTGGAGGCATTCATTGATGTGGATTGGGCTGGATCCGTCACTAACAGACGATCAACTTCTGGATATTGCACATTTGTTGGTGGCAACCTAGTCACGTGGCGAAGTAAGAAACAGAATGTGGTTGCTAGATCTAGTGCTGAGACAGAATTTCGGGCCATGGCTCAGAGTGTATGTGAGTTGCTATGGATTAGAGCAGTATTGGGAGACATGGGGATCCATCAGATCAATTCTATGAGATTGTATTGTGACAACAAAGCCGCAATCAACATAGCTCATAATCCAGTTCAACATGACAGGACTAAGCATGTGAAGATTGATAAGCACTTCATTAAGAAAAAACTCACTAGTAGCACCATATGTATTCCATTTGCGAAGACTGGGGACCAACTAGCAGATGTTCTCACCAAGGGCATAGGAAGTAAACCATTTCATGGCATTCTTAACAAGCTAGGCATGAGAGATATCTTCGCACCAGCTTGAGGGGAGTGTTAGAATAGGAAATAATATTTTGTTATATTTTATTCTTTCTATATTTATTTTTCCCTTTATGGATGTAATGGGCTGACCCATAATTTATGCCTTATGGCACTCCTATAATTACTCAGTATTATCAATATAAAAGGGGATGAGGTCTAACCTATTTCCTATCACTTCCTCTTCTCTAAATCTTCAGATACTTGGAGGGACCAAGGGACACTTGGACAAAGAGCTGCTTAACTGAGTTATGAGTGCACATATCCTCGAGTAGAGAAGGTGACGTGTTAGGGCAGAGATTTACTCAGCCAATTCAAGATGCCTTGGTCTTTTTGCCTAGGCTTCAAGGTTAGAGCATTGTGTGTGCTATCCTTTGTTGACCTAGCTCAATCCTGGAGCGGAGCATGTGGAGAGAGAGATTGTTGGTCCACATGTCACCTCATGAGTTTGACTTGTGGATGCAAGGGAGTTTGAGATGTTAACATGGTAGGCTCATGGAGATGACTCGCCCTGTCACATGGATGTATATACCTACATCTAGAAACAAAAAAATTGCCACTTACTGTTGAAAAAGGAACTTTGGCTAAAGATATTGAAGAAAATTGTCTATGCTGTTTAGGTTTGAATGATTGATTTCCTTTTTCGAATACCAGAAAGATTAGAGAAAGTTATGATCAACAAAGCTGTTACTATATTTGTATTTTAGGACTTCTAAATTTTAAGGCTTTCGAATTCATGTAGACATCTCTCTCTCTCTCGATAAGTAATTCATTTCTACGATTAAAAATCTAACTTATGCAAAGTGATGGCTATTGAATAACATCAAGACAATAGATTCATTAAATGGTTCAATACCAGCCGCCTCTTGTCCTGGTGTCCTTTTTGAAGGACAGCCCCCAGTCCTGTCGGTAACCTTCCATGTATGCCTGTATAATCTTCAGACCTGCCTAGAATATTGAAAAAGTAAATATGAAAGAACGAACACACACACATATCTCACAAACTTCACATTTTTATAGTTATGTTTTTACATGTGGATATCCACACACACACACACATAGGTGCACAAAATCCTTACATACCCCAGGAGTAAATGTAGTCGAAACCCCAGAAACAAATCTCAACGCTTTGTATGATGAGTAGCTGGGATCTGCATACACTTCTGAGACCAAAGACAAATCTTGTTATTATGATGCAATAATATGTCAAAAATATCTATACGACCCTGTAAATTTGAGAAACCTCAAAGTGCCCTTTTCCAACTTATGTGATAACAAGCAGGTACTGGCTAGCTTGCTTGTGAAGCTCTAAGTAGCATAAAAGTACATTGCATCATAAAAATTGATGTGTATATAGATATATATGTATGAGTTGTAATTGCAGTTAATGACTGACAAGCAAGTGGAATGGTCGTTTTCTGTTATCACATCCATTCTTGGTTGTTTCCTATAAATAACCTCATATGATATAGATATACAAGAATTCAAATTTGAAAGATTGACAATCTATATGAAGCATACCTCCTTTGAATTTTGTTTGCTCAGAGAATGCTTTTGCCTAGAGGGGAAAAAAAATTACAATAGTTATTAACTAATCCGAACCTATTTGCATGATGATGTAAGTAGTTCGGTGGAGACAATAACCGCAATTGGGAAAATAAATAAATAAATAAACAGGGTATGAAAGAGATAATTCAATGATGCATTTATCATCACCAACTCACTTCTAAGACCGTATCGGCCCATACCTGATCTACGCTACCTGGTCCAATTAGAACAAGTGCCACACCGGCTGCATCCATTATATCCTGTTAACAGAAGATGCATTACTACAATAAACTTCTTTATAGACTAAGTGCCATGAAAATAAATCAATCACCTGTAGACTAAGCAAATTATAATTTCAAAAATCCAGATGTTGCCAAAAGCTTGCACAAAACATGCATATCTTTTGTATTTATGGTAAACTTGGTCTAATTACCAAGGGAGTAAAATGAGTTGTATCTTCATCATCAAGAAAACTTCACTATATTTTGATGATACACACAAAATGTGCTCCATCAATGCTCTAGCAATTTTATCGAATAGGTGGGTCTGTAATCTATCATTACCTTCTTTGCAGCAAGATAATCAGCACGTTTGCGACAAAGAACACATCTGCAAAAACACATATAAGTAGACAGGTGATCAGCTAAATTTGATATACCATACATTATATGAGTTATGCTAAAAAGTACCCGAAATGACGAGCAAATGCAACAACTGCTTTCCTATCTTTCCACAAATCAGAAATTGGTACACCATTCCCATTCAAATCAAACACTTGTACTGTATCCAATAAGCTTGTGGTGTCTTCACTCACCTCAGAAGATGCAATTCCTGTTTCACATCAAGAAATCCAATCACACAATAAATAACACATTGAAGCACCACCTACATTTATAGAAATATATTTTCAATTTGCCCCCCAAATCTTTTATATCCACTTTTTCCTTTTTCAACAAAATCCTTGCGATTTGCCCCCTCTAAATGTTTATTTTGCTGGAAAATCCCCCTTTATATACTACTACTCTGTGATTTGTTTCTCTACTCTACCCCCTCTCTCATTTCATCAGACACCAAACTCGTACACATAGACAGTTGCACACATTTTTTAAACTAACACACCAGATGTTTGATAAAATTCCCAAACCAAATTCAAATAGGTTGTTTAACATATGTAACTTATTCATTTACTAGATCATGTATTATCAGCTGAGTAGCAATGTTTATGGTTCCTCCATCGGTTTTATTCATTAATTCCTTTATGTTTGTTATACTCGATTATTATTAATTTATTTTGTATTTTTTAAAAAATAAATTTTGAGCATGCAATATCGAGGCCTCTTTAATTGCTTAGTTTTATTTTATAACAAGCATTTGGAAAATTGTTAATAAATAAGGTGGAACTATGATTACAACCCAAACCAAAACTTGCAACTGACCCTAACCAAACCAACCATAAACTTTTCCACTCTAGTTTAATTCTAGCTCTGCATTGCATGTCTATACTGTACTATTATATAAAGTGTACAACCAATTTGACATGAACACCCTTTTGAAGTTGTGTCATGCTAATTTTTTTTTTTTTTTTTGAAAAAAAAAAAAAAAAAGATTTTGACTAAAGGAGTCGAAAAAATAAATATCATTTAAAAAAAATGAAATGTCAAAAGTCAAATGTCATGTCCACTTTTTCACTTACAAAAAAAGCAGTTTTCTTAACAACTTTCCAAACACATTGTGGGTGTATGGAAAGTTACTATTTTAGTACGCTAAAATTTTTGTGTTTAGAAAAATGATTGGATTTTTTTGTATTTGGATGTGTTGTTTATGAGAAAAAAAGTGAAATAATTATAGGTTTGATGTGACATTTTGTCTTATTGGTTATTTTAACTTATTTTATCTTTTTGTAAATTTTTGTCCAAAAAAACTAAAATTTCACTTCCCAAACAGGGCCATTATTAACTTCTTCTTTTTTAACTCTTAAAAAAAAAAACGAACACCCACTAAATTTCCCCCATGTAACTGCCAATTTCAAAATTTATAACTTACACAACTTTTAATAGTACACCCATTACCTTCAACTCACAATAGTTTTAAAGTTTTATCACAATTTTTTTGTAATTTTATATCGAGAATACCTATATTGTTAACTGCTCTAGTAAATAGTGCAAAGAGTTCTCAAATTTAACCATTTCCTTCATTCATCAAATCATCAAAAAAATTTAAATATAAAATTGCAAATATATAACTAAAAAAAATGACATAACTTTAGTTTTCTGAATCATAATTAAAAAAATATATATATCATAACTAAACACAACATGAGGCATAACTAAAGAACTCATGAGTCATAACTAAAATAATATCATAACTAAAAAATAAAATTAGTTATAACTAAAGAAGAAAATGGCATAGCTAGGGATGCATATGGTATACCCATTTTAAAAGGGCGTATATTAGAATTTCCTTGGTCATTGACTTATTTGTTACAAGTTATCAAAACACTTCTCTATTTTTTTACACATCTTTTCACAAAAAATAAAATAAGTCCCTAAATAAATTATACCCAAACCACCCCTTAATACTTCTTAAGGAACTGTTTGCTAGATGTATTCAGAGTTGATTTGAAAATAGATTATTTTAGTAATTTTTTAGATTTTTAGATAAAATAGGAGATGAAAAAGACTAGCATATTTAGGATACTTTTTATTTTATTTTATAGCTTTTTACAGAAAAAAATGTAAAGAATAGAAAGAAAATGAAATTTTTACTTTTTTTATATAATTTTTTAACTTTTTTAATAACTTTTTAATGAATTCCAAAACCAAGCCTCAATATCAATTAATCAATAATAATAAAAAACAGAACAATCTCAAAATTTGACATAGGATGAATTTGGGATGTAAACAAAAGATCATTAAAAAGAAGTCAAAATTTGTTTCTTATTTTTTCTACTTTTTATATAAATTTTTCATAAAAACTCAAAAAATCATTCATAAATATTTTTTTCACCTCATAAAATACTAAAAAAACACTTCCCAAACCAACCTAACCGACCCATAATTACACTAATTTTTTTTAATAAAATTAAAGGGCTCAAAACTTATGTAGAAGGTGTAAAAATATAAAAATAAATAAAATAAAATATATATTTTGATATAATTGAAATGACATAATTGTTTATTTATTTATATGATTAACGAACTACCGATAACAATTAGACTAAAATGCTATCTGAATTAAAAAACTAAAAGAACCCATATATAATTATGTTAAATTGATTAGAGATATGTATGAAGGTGTGGTGACTACTATTAGATCGTCTGCTGGAGAGACAAGTGAGTTTTCAATTACTATAGGGTTACACAAAGAATCAACTTTGAGTCCTTATCTTTTTGCATTAGTTATGGATGAGTTGACGAGAAATTTTCAAGATAATATGCTATGGTGTATGCTTTTTGTTTGTGTTAGTGGGCGAGACAAGAGAATAAGTGAATACTAAGTTGGAGACTTTGAAAGAAACACTTGAATGTAACGGATTTAGGATAAGCAAAACTAAGGCAAGAGTACATAGAATGTAATTTTAGTAAAAGTAACAATGAAAGCAGAGGAGAAGTGAAGATTGAGAACCAAGAACTGCCTAAGAGTGAACATTTTTGTTATTTAGGGTCGATTATCACAACAGCGGGAGAGATGGATGCAGATGTGGCCCATAGGATTAAGGCGGGATGGTATAAGTGGAGAAACGCGTCTAGGGTATTGTGCGATAAACGAATACCCATTAGACTAAAAAGTAAGTTTTATAGAACGACTATTAGACCAGCTATGTTGTATGGGACGGAATGTTGAGCAACCAAGAAACAACATGTAGATAAGATGAGTGTGGCTGAGATGAGGATGCTAAGGTGGATGTGTGGTAAGACTAGACAAAACAGGATTAGGAATGAAAGTATTCAGGAATGGGTAGGAGTAGCACCGATAGCAGATAAGTTGAGAGAGAATCGTTTGAGATGGTTTAGTTATATTCAACGGAGACCAATAGAGACAGTAGTGAAGAAATGCGATACTGTAACGGTAGATGGAAGTGTTAGGGAACGGGGTAGGCCTAGATTAATGTTGACTAGCGTTATAAATAGAGATATGAATCTACTTAATTTGACTAATGAAATGGCCTTTGATAGGACCGCGTGGAGAGGAAGGATTCATGTAGCGTAGAGAGGAAGGATTCATGTAGCCGACCCCATTTGATGGAACTTAAGGCTTGGTTTGGTTTGATTTTAAAAATATCTTTTTTGGCATTTATTTTTATAAAACAAATTTATATTTTATCAAATTGATGACATTACATTTAAAATTGAACAAAAAAAACGTGTCTTCAATTATTCATCCTTATTTAAAATAATATTCAAAATTCATTGTCAAATGCATCCGTGCCCAGTTCGCCCAATTGCAAATGAATTGCGTTTGCACCTACAAACCGAACATACATATATACAAGCATGTATTATGTATATGTACAATATGAATTCATAGTCACAGAACATAAGAATAAATGGACCAGAGGGTTCTTCAATTGAGAACATAAACACATACAAGTAAATGAAGAGAGGAAAGAAGGAGAAAATGGAACTTGCCGGGAGAGCCAGAGACAGCGGAGACAGTGATGGAGCTTTGAAAGGACGAGAAATTGATGGTTCTCTTGATTGGATTGGGGCGGCGGAGGAGGAGAGAGAAACTGAGGTTATGATTATATGGAGGAGACTGTTTGGGAAATATATGGGATGAAGGGTGATTGGGGTGTGGTTGGAAGGTGTTGTTGGAGGGTAAGGTTGCAGAGAGAGAAATAGCCATTGCTACTACTATTACTCTACTCATTGAAGAATAAATGGACCAGAGGCTTCTTCAATTGAGAGATTTTTGGGAGTTTAGGAAGGAGAGGCCTGGAAGTGTGGAAATCAGAGTTTCACGTGGCAACATTGAAACTCAACGTTTGGTTTAAGTTTAGGAACACTAATATTTAACTAAATAAATGACTAAGTGTGAGGTCTACAATTCTATAACATTTTTCTAATGGACGTTTAGGAAATGAGAAATTATTTAATAATTCTGAAACATTATATAGTCATACTTCAAATTAATTATCAATTAGTTAGTTTTTCTCTTCTCTCCTCCTAACATAAATTATAGACTCATATCCCTCTCTACCAATTAAAACTTTATAATGTACCACGTATCCATACTCTATGAATACTGAATAATTATCCCTAAGAAGTGGTGAGTCTAATGTGATGTGATATTTTAATTTCTTTTTCATTGCCAAATGTATAGAGCTTCATTTTTAGTGATGTATAACTTCTGGAAAAACAAAATCAAAAAATATGTTTAGTTAATCAATTTTTAAATTTTTTTTCTCTCTTCTCTCTTTCTCTTATTTATTTATTTATTAATAAATTAATTAATCAATTTTTCTCTCTCATTTCTCCTCTTTCCTTTTTCATTCTCTCACATTGTACATATTAATTAATCAATTTTTCTCTCAAACTCATTTATTCAACTAAAAAGAATTACAAATCATCTCAAAATTATTTTTAAAACTCATAACCAAAAAAAATTTAAACTTTTAAATTTTTTTTTCAACAACTTGTCTTTTAAAATACAATTCAGTTTTTTTTTTTCAAAAGCTAAACCAAACATAAATTTTATTTTCTAGTTTTTCCTTTTAAATTTGGATTTGAATAATGACATAAATTTGTTTATGGATTTGAATAATGATATAAATTTTAATTAGAGAGAGGAAAAAGTAGTACAAAATTTGTTTATGGGTTAATTATACTTTTGTCTCAAATTTTATTTTAATTATTATTGTTTTAAATAATTTGATTCTCATATTTTAAGTTTAATTTTAATTTTTTTTTATTTTTAAATTTGGACATTGGGTCCATAAATTTAATTTTAAATTTTCTTTCTTAAAGTTTATATTCTAAAATATTTTGTCCTTGAAAACAAATTCCTACAAAATGACGAAACTATCTAGGGGCTTTTCCCATATTAAGCCTCTTTTGCATCTTATTTTTCAAACTAGGCCTAGTTTGGACGGATTTCCCAAACTAAGTTAAAGCGCTATTACAAATCGCGCTTTCACTGTTTGGGGCCCAAAATTTGATGAATAGTGAAAGAGCTATTGTAAAACGCGCTTTTAATTAAGAAATCGCTGTTTCAAATCGCGCTTTTAATATAATTTTTTTTTGTGAAGAAAACATTATTTGAAATCGCGCTTTCACTGTGCATATAAATTATTTTTTTTTTAGAAAATGTTATTGCAAATAGCGTTTCTACTGTTGAAACACAAACCAAAACCAACCCACACTCTGACACACACACACACACCCACAACACTGAAGCATTGAAATAACATAATTTTTATATATAATAATAATTTATAATAATCAATTATATAATTTTTATAATTTTCGTAAATATAAATCATTTTTAGGTTATAGATGGTTTGATTTATAATACGTATGTAAGGGTAAAAATTTTTATAATCAAAAATAATTTTTGCAATTTTTATAATAAAAAATAATTTATAAATTATCAAAAATAATTTATAATACGTATGTATTATTTATCTTTCTTAAAGTTTATATTCTAAAATACTTTATCCTTGAAAACAAATTCCAACAAAATGACGAAACTATCCACCCATACATATATTACTTCTCCTCTTTCTCTCTCATCTCCCCTCTCTTCATCTCTCTCCACATAAACGAAATTTGAGACGATAAGGGCAAGAAGTCATCAAAAAAGCATGTGTTTGTTCAAATCATAAGAAAAAGGATCAAATGAAAGACGTGTAATAGATTTTTGAAACAGATTACAAAACGATCAAATGAAATAAAATAAGTTGACTTGGTTTTTAAGAAAATAGAAATTATTGAGAGTGAGAGAAGTCTAATTCGCAGATCTGTGATTGCCGTAACTACCATGATGGTTATTCGGCCTCTCTCTTTCTCAATTTGCTAGTCGTCTTCGATCCGCCACCGTCATTTCCATTAACGTCATCGACGCCCCCAGCTCCACTGCTAGAAATCCAGCTCCATTGTCACACCACCGCCACCAGACCCATTGTCTCTTTCTCCCACTCAAATCTGATGTGTCGTCGTCGTTGGTGAGTACCTGACTGGATAAACAATATCGTTGTTTGAGCAGATGGAGAGATTTGTGAATGGCGAACTCAAATGTGCGAGTAGTGATCTCCAATCCGACTCAGATCTAACCTATCCCAGGCCGCAGGAGGGCTCCGGGCTGCCCACAGCTGCGAGCCAAATTTACACCTCTATATATATATATATATATATGTATGTATAAGGCCAAAGCTTTCTTCATACATTTTTATTGTATTCTCTGCACTTTCTTTGCAACAACTAAGGGTATCTCTAACAGTTCATCTTTTTTATTTATTTATTTATATTATTATTAAGTTGGAGTAAAAATTTCATTTATTATCAAGTGCTCAAACGGAAATTTTTAAAGCTTCATCAAATCACCAGTCAATCGAGTGGATGTTCGGTCAGTCAATCGGCTAAAGTAATTTTTTTTACAAAATTTTGATTTTAGATGTTCATCCAGGGGACATCTGGTAATGAAAATCAAATGACTATGAATAGTGATTTGATGAAAGATACATCCATCATCACTTTGATGAGAGATTTGGTGATGAGTTGGAGTAGCAAAAAGTGAATTTTTTCATCAAATTTTAATGTAATGAATCATTTGGTAAACTATTAGAGATGGTCCAAGTGAGCATTATTTCCTTTAACAAACAATCAAGCATGAAAACTAAAAATAATTTTAAAAAGATATTTACATAAATATACAACACACTTTGAACGGCTCTAGAGGTATTTTTATAAATGACTTATTCTTGCACCTGCTCTAGAAATTTGTTATTCAGATTTTTATAAATGACTTATTCACTCACACAATGTGTGAGTGAATTTCTGACCACATTGCCAACTCAGTATTCAACTGGAGAGCACTGACAGAATAGATAGCGTCTGAATGACCTGCAACAGAAAGAAGAGATTCCGACGGTGGTTCGTCTACTCGGGGGCACTCCGATGATCAAGTCAGTTATCTCTCAAAGATAGAAAAAGTGCTCAATTCACTGTTCAAAGTACAAATTGCGTACCTTAGACCCAAAGGGGATGCCTCTCTTTTATAGCCAACACAATCCTAGTCCCAATAAAAGCCTAGCTTCAATGGACTCCTACTCAGTACTTATCTTGGACTCTCCAATAGATAAAGATAAACTCCCTAAGAGCTTTATCCTTATCTAGGTTGAAGTCCTTCCTCATTCTAGGACTCTTGTCCCTTATCCGCTTATCCCTGACTCCGATATCTTTGGAGAAAACCTCGGCCTAGCCGAGATCACCTCGGCATCGCGACCAGGACACGTGGCACCCCGACTGACACGTCGGCGTCACTTTGGCCACGTGTTGGTACTCAGAAAATATATCCCCATAACTGCCTCCTAGGTTCTATTACCTCGGCATCTTGAGGTGATGGAACCTATATCGTGCATGTCGACTATCTTGCTATATTATCCATTTACCGAGGTCATAATACATCGGCTTCACATATCCAGGTCCTGTAGTCTGTCTCATCAAAGTTTTTAGAACCAATAACCTAGTTCATTTGAGTAATTTAGTCGAGATCTTCCTATCAGCCGAGTTCATTGCTTTATTAAACCAAGAACTCCAAGAGTTTTATCATGCGTATGAGCTGTCACGCAAAATAAATCAACCGTTTCTGCCACGCGTTTGTCCCCCACTGGACCGTGTCCGATACGCGCTTGTAAGTCGTCTCGCGCCTGCATGCGCCGTCTGACAAATACGTTGTTATAGGGTCATTGATGGTGTTTCGCCGCCATTCTTCCGCGTTTTGATCAAAATCAATTCTCTCTCTCTGTCTCTTCACTTTTGCATCCTCGTTCTCAAGCTCCCAACTCTTTCTCTCTCTAACTTCTCTCTCCAAAATATGCCATTGTTTCCAGATTTTCAAGCTCTGTAACAGCTTTCATTCCTCTTCTCCGGTGAAGCTTCCACTGTCCTCTTCTGATTGTAACTGCCCCTTGACTCCGGCGTCTTCAACACCGGCTTCACTTCTCTGGTAAGCTTTTGTTCCCTCCTGGTTTCCAGTTCTTGGTTTCTCTTTGAATTCTGTTTATATTTGTGTTTCGTTACTGTGGTTTCGTTCATATTTTTTATTACAAATATATATGTTGATCTTTTTGCCTCTATTCTTTGCCTTGCACCCTTATACACACTCTGTCACAGCGTTCTTGATGATTCACCACTATCCTTGATTCTGAATCATTGTTCTTGTTTGTGTTTTCTGTATTTTCTCCAGATTCTTGCCTTTAATCTTCGTTTGCTTAGACTTAGGTTTGAGTTTTGCCCTAGAACACACGAATCTTAGGGAAAACTGTAACGAATCCCCCTCTGATTTCCACAAATTCTTATCCCAACGTGAACTTTAGGTTTTGCCAAGGTCTTCTAAGCCTTTATGAAACACTTTATTTCCAATTTATACACCTTCCCTTAAGCCGACGTCATGGATATGTGGAAGCATAGGGTAGACACCCCAACTAAATTAGAATACTTTAGGCGGGAGTTCTCCATTCCAGCTGACGTTCACCTTAGATTGGCTGGGGAGGATGACTCCATCATGCCCACAATTGATTCTATGCTCTTTTCTATTATTGCTTTTATTGGGTGCGATCTTAGGCTCCCACTCAACATCCTCTTCCGTGAGATACTTCATTACTATAAATTGAACCCAATGCAGCTCGCCATCAATTCCTATCGAGTCATCAACGGTATAATAGCCTTAGCCAAACAGGAGAATGCTAGGGTTACCTTAGCCGACATCCGATACTGCTACACCA